TTTTATTTATTTTTTACCGCTCTGCCTCTCCTTTCAATCATTTCCAGCGGCAGTTTAGCGGCAGCGGCAGCTGACCTGGGGCGCATGCTTAAGAAGGTGCGGAGGTGACGAACCGAGCGCAAGTCCGAGAGCGAGCGGGAGAGACAGGGAGACCTACCCCCTCCCCTCGCATGTCTCGTCACGTCACACAATTGGACAGGGATGAAAACTACTGACGAAGAGAGAAGAAGAACGAACGAAACTTGCGCCACGACGACAACAACGAGTAACCGCTCGATGGTTTAATGACGATTTTTTCGGCGGCGCATCGTGACTGCGGGTGACGACGCTCGGCTCTCTGGGATGCGGCGGCGGCGAGAGGCAATCTGGAGCACGGCGGCGAGGTGTCGGCGTGTGGTGCGTGCGCCTGACGTCACCCATTGTTCGCCCATTAAGCAACGCTCTAATACTCTTCTTTCTTCATTGACTTCTTCGCCTGCCCTGCGCGCTGGTGGCGGCGGCGGCGGCGGCGGCGGCCTGCAGGGTGCGCGCTTGAGGGGCAACCACCCCGCGACCTGAGGAGAGAGAGGGGAGGGGGGGGGGAGGGGCGTTTGGAGGGCCTGCCGCGCTGAGCCGCCACGGTCAAGGACGAGAGAGGTGTTCGGAAGCGACGCGCAGAGCGGCGCGGCGGCGCGGCGGCGCAGCGGGCAGGCCACAAAGTACCTCCTCACCTACACTCCAGCGCAGCGGAGCGGGCGCGCTCGACGGCTGCTGCTGCTGCTGCTGCTGCTGCTGCTGCGGCTCAATGCTCATCCCCGCGCGAGGACCTCACAGCTGGACAAAGGGGAGCGTGCTGCAGTGGGTGGCCAAGGTCGCGGCCTAGGCATGAGGACCTCCCGGCGCACCGCGCGAGCACTCTCACCCACACACACGCACACACGCACACACGCACACACACACACACTCTCTCACACACACGCACACGCACACTCACACACACTCGCGCGGATCTTTGCGGCTTCCTGGTGCGATCATCCCGCGCGCGCGCCCGCTCCAGCTCGTCGCCCTCCCGCCGCCGGTCACCACCACCACCACCCGGTAACCGCACATCAACCGGCCCGCTCCATCAACGAGTAACTGCCCCGTGTGGCAGTTTAGCTGGCGGGGCCGCACAGTATGTGCTCCAGGCGCGACCCGGGCGGCTGCGGATGTGGCGGAAAGGTTCAGCCCGCACGCACACCCTACATGCACTATGGATTTTAATTTTTCTA